ACTACTACTAGCAATACTACTACTAGCAATACTACTACTACTACTACTACTACTACTACTGCTACTGCTACTACTACTACTAGTACTAGTACTAGTACTACTACTACTACTGCTGCTGCTACGACGACGACGACGACGACGACGACGACTACTACTACTACTACTGGCAATACTACGAATACTACTACTGCTAGTGTTACTGCTAGTATCCAATTCGTACGAGTAGGGGAACACCAAAGGGGACACATGGAAAAACACTTCCGATTTAATTTGGCGACCATAGGCACGGCGCAGGCAAAGACTCTCGTGACGAGCTTCGGTGAAAAGACCTTCTGTAAAGCAGTTCAGCAGCAGGTCCTTCCCTCAGCCTCACTTCATTGTAGCGGGGAGGCACGTGACACCTTGCAGCACTGAGCCAGCTAAGGTGAACTTCATTTCCGAGCAAGAGCGAAATCATAATGCGCCGAGCTCGACCATGCTGTCCACCACTGCAGGGTGGCCTAGTCGGGTTTCTGGTGCCTGCATATGGGAGCAAGACCCTGGGGTTCCTCGATCGGCTTGCAAGGTCATGTACGAACAGCGTGCAGAAAAAAAGGAAGAAGGTCTCTATGAAGGCCAGCCTTGCCGACGCCTTGCTTTGTGGCAGCTGAGATTCGCATCGGTCCAAGAAGCGAAAGTCAGTTGGCGCACGTTCAACCTTGCAAAATCGCGCTTCCAACCACCAAAGCATCCAAAGCTCACATGTAGGAACTAGCTAGTGTGGTTGCCTGACACTTTCGGGCCGACATATTCGAACACGCCCTTTCGTTTGCAAGGCTGCCACAATTCACTTCTGAGTCACTTGGGCGCAAGCAGCAAGACTTGGCTGTGTTGCTTCACGCCTTGTCACAGAGGATCAAGTCGTAGCCTGGTCTGGTCTTGTGGTATAAGCGGTTCCGTTGAGTCCAACGGGGAACATGATCCTCCCTCCTTTCACGGTCTCGTCCTTGCAGGTAATCAGCAGCCGACGACAAACCTTGGGGGCATCACGCCGCCCAGCTTCTCCATCAACTGTGCATCTGCCGCCCACCAGGCCTGTGAGTTGTCGTTTTGCCACCGGCTTCGGTTTCTGAATGTGGACAGGGCAAAGAGCGAGACGCGAAGGATGCGAAGGGCGAGAACGATCGTGAGAAGACGAAGGAGCCCAGAGATGAATTGAGTCTGAAGCCTGCAGTGCAGCAACTGACGTCATGAGATGCGGACGGATGCAGGCCGTGGTGCTCAAGACGGGATTTGTGTGAGTGTGATACAGTTGAAAATGGAGGGGTATGTCTGACGTTGTTTTTTCTTTTTGGGGCCTGCCGGGGGTGGGTGCGTGGGTGGGGTTGGGTGCGGGGGGCTGCGGGGAGCTCTCGGGGGGTGGGGGGCGGGGGGTGGAGGCCCAAGTCACGAGTCACAAGTGGGTTTCGAAGCAATATATATAGGCGGAAGTAACATACCGTATTGACAAGACTCAGATTCGACTTAGATGAGTTCTATCATATAGAAATGATATTATGCTATCTTATTTCATTTCATTTTGATGTTAATTCCATGTGATGTATATGTATATTGAGACTGTACACACGTTTACATCAATATTAAATTCCAGTTTTGTTAATTGCAAAATATGTTAAATTCAATCTAGAGTAGAATAACACGTCACACGCTGTACATAATGTGCTACAGTATAAAAGTTTTATGGTATAATACATTATTCTGTACCATAGCAGAACAGAAACTATTATAACAGCTGCTAATTGACAATGATCCATAAGTAACATGAGTTGTCTAACAATATGCTCAACAGAAAAGGTCAGACAAACTCTCCACCGAGTGAAACTGAGCGACGCAGGATACATAGATGTCATGCACAGCTGTAATCCTAAGTGCATGTGCCCAGTTTGCGGGTGATAGTTCCAGAGCCGGAAGGGAGCAGGTGATGGTCGCACACCAGAGGTCTGAACACGTTGTGTTGCTCATGAGCCTCGTCGTTTTTCTCAGTGCTGTTAAATGATTGTTTTGGGTACAAACCATGCAGGACGGCTCGTATGCCTTGCTTGTTGGATACGAGTCCACGATGTTCCCAACCTTGGGTGACATGCAGCCACTCTGCGGCATTCCAAGTTGGGTGAGTGTCTGGTCAGTTCTGGTTTTGGTCAAAAGCAGGGGTTGAATGTCATGGAACTTCGTTTTTGTTCCATCCCGCTGCAACTTGAGCAAGGTCGATGCTGTTCACCAACATGGCGGCCGCTTGAAGTGCATAGATATTCCAAGTCAAGGGCGCGTTCGGCTCGTTGTACGAAGCTTTCACTCGATCTCTTGTACTGACCTGTTGATTTGACTTCGGGGACCTAATGCAACAGTTTGACCTGCAGTACTGCAATCGTGTTGTGGTTGAGTGCTGGATTCAGGTGGCCATGTCCCAAGACGGTCTGCTGGAGGACATGGGCTCTCAAGCTCTTTTCCGTCTTGACCAGCATCCCATTGTGGGCTATGATTGTCGAAGCATCAGCACTTTATGGAAGCTCTGATTGCCCCTGTGCTCTGTCCGACTGCCGTTCGTGACGTGCGCGTTAGTCACACGAGCAAGCTGGACGATCACAGCTTCAGATGGGGGTCATCGTCCTCTTCACTCCCCTTCCATACCCCAAGCACGATTCAAAGGACAACGCTGTCAGAAGTGTCCTCTGTTAATATGCGCTTCCAATACACAGCAGATCTCTTGAAGCGGACATGCGAAAAAAAAGCTGAGGTACGGGCTGAAAGAACACTGAAAGTGCCACTGTAAAGACTGGCAGGAGGCACGAAAGTTCTGCGACAAGGCGCTTCAGATACAGCCAAGAGCGCTGCTTCCGCTGAGGACGAGCCTTGGCGGTGTGAGCTTGTTGTTGAGGCCCTGGAGTATTCACTTTTCTTGTCTGGAGTAGAGGCTTGCATTCTTTCTGTGTTCTTCTTTCCTGACACAGCAAGCTGGCAGGTTGACAGGTCATTAGATTAGAAGTGAGTCGTTGGCGCTGATGAACAGTTTCGGGAAGGTTCAAGAACTGGCTGCAGCCTGAAGCCGAGGCTTGCCTTCCTACTCCTGAAGCAAGGGAACGGAGGCCTGCTACCGCACGGACAAGTGCCTCCCTCCCTCCCTCCCTCCCTCGTTTCGACATGTTCATCAAGTAGTGTGGTACCGGTACCGCCAGCTCCTTCAAGCAGAGCAGCCAATGAGTCCTGCCGAAGCTGTGGCTGCAGGCGAAGCAATCAGGCGCCTGAAAGGACTGGTGTTTGGGAGCATCGGGATTGCAAGGCAGCCGCTGCTCAAGAGTACATTGCGGCCAGGCGATTCCGACAGTACATACTTGGAGTGTGAGCATTGTGAGAGACCTTGTCAGCTTCGCTTCATGTACGTGGTGCACTTCGAACTCCTTGTGACCCAGAGTCTTATATGCACAGCGTTAAATTATCGAGGATGCTCATGGATGCAGGCTACCAACATCTCAGCAATTGCTGGCCGATCACGTTCACCGTGCTGTTATATAGTCCTGGACTGTAATGCAGTGCCCGCAGGAGAAAAGAAGACCGTCGGACAATGAGCTACGAAGACTCTCGGAGGAAATGTTATGCTTCGCGATACGCGAACGGCAATCCTCAGTGCAACCTAGACGGCATCGATGGGCCATGGGTTGATGGTGCAGCAGCGATGCTGCGAACTCACATGCCAAAGTCTTTGTGTGTGTGTGTGTGTGCGCGTTGAGGTGTGTGATTATGTACATCATGTGCTCAGGAGTGGCCCAGAATCCGTGGCCAATTTGTGCGCATCGAGAAACTGATGGCACAGAACTTGCGAGATTGCTTCCAGATGTTCCTTGCCAGTCCCTGGGATCCTGGCAGATGCTCGAACGCGAAGCTACCGTAAATCAGTAAAGATGTCGAGCTCAAGTAAAATATCCGGCTAATTCTGAACGGACGAACGGATGATGCTGGAAGCAGTGCAAGAGCCTACATGAGAGCTGAGGAGACACTGGGGCAGTCTCGCACTATTGGGATGCCCGTCCGGGATGTGAGAGGGCTGGTCGTACTAATGCTCGAAGGGTGCACCTAACATGAAGGACGTTTGCACTGGTCACATGACTCACTCCGACCTTATGGCGATCAAGTGTAGAGAGCTGCAATAAGTTTCCAGCGGGCATGCAGCATTGGTACTCAGCCGAGCAGCTCGACGACGCCGCCCGCAGACTTAGAAAAGAGCTGATTTTGTGTTCTCATCAGCCATCTAGCTGTGCGTTTGCGACGAAGGGCTAGTCCGCTGAATGATGTTGAATGTTAGGGTGCTGAGCTAGACATGAGACGCGAGCTCGCAAACAGCGAGCGTTTGGAGCTGACAGACACCTGCAGCCAGTCAAGACGCCACTAACTACCACAACGCGGAAGCTTGGGAGCTCTTGACAGGTTTCGGGGCTTGCTATGGGCTGGCGGCATCTAGCGGCACAAGCGAGTCCTGCTGTGACTTGGCCCAGGCTGGACCCTGTGTGGAAATTTGACTGCGAGATGGCCTCTATGGCCGGGACCCCCAGCGTCAACCCGGTAACAAGTTGTGGCATGCCTTGGTCTGGACTCCACGGACAAGGAGTGCCGGGCAGAGAGAGCATTGTTCTTTCTGGTTCTCTCTATCCCCCTCTCCTCTCGCCAAGCCTTAGAGATGCAGGGCATGTGAATGCAAGGCATCTTGTTGGGCGTCTCGGCATCTAGGGCTATAGGGCATGTCCTGGCGCCAGAAAACCTCAGACACCATCGAGTTCCAAGTCATGGACTACGACGCGATTGGGCATCCGTCTGAGAACAGATTTCTTCAAGACCACATGACAATCGCGGCATCAACCTGCACAGCTTGTTCATGCGATGTCTTAGACCATGGCAGACCGTATTCGGACCTTTGGGGTGCTCTTCAGCTGCTGCACGCGGCCACAGACGTTGGTCAGGTCTGACGATCTTCTAGGCATGGGCCCGAGGGTCCACCTGAAGTCTGAAGGTTGAGCATTCTGGACGCTGCTCTGCATTGATCCCCAAGTGCCTGCACCAAGTAGCAACGAGGTACTCTAGAGCTCACTTTTGATCAGCCGGGTACTCAGCATTGCACACACACGCACCTTCTTCCGTGCATGTGCCACCCCCCATGCAATGGATACCCCACAAGGATTTATCCTTCTGGGGTTGATGAGACTTTCGTTCCGCCCCCAGTACAGAGCTTGGGTAGTATGCTTCGGCCGACACTGCTACTGTGGGCTGTGTGCTGTTCCTGCGACAGTCTTGCGATGTTCACGGCCATGGGTTCGCAGTTGTGTGTGGAAGTCTGATCTTGACGGCTCTGTCCTGGACACGTCCCGGAGGAGCTGACCGATCCAGCAAGGAAGGATGGCAAGGTGGCAACCATCAAACTCAAGGCCTCCGAGTATGCTTTTGGGGTTTGGGAACATGCTGACTTGTGGAATTTGTGCACATATCTTGAGCACCAAGCCCATGAAAGCCCTATTCTTGCCAGATCATGCCTGAGCCGGGTACCTCAGCTTTTCCCATGGGCGATGCGCAGCTCTTATCCGGCTCCTGAGTTAAGAGAATTGTTGTTCGACGCTTCTCCTGCTGTAGTTGAACCAGGCAGCACCCGGGGCTGCAACCGACCGGTCAGAGTAGGACCAAGATAGGATACCACACCAAATTCATCCCACCATCCAGCTGATCCGTCTTCGCGTTACGTCTCGGGAGATAATGGGTAGGTCCGGGTAGGTGCGCTGAAGGACAACTCAGCCTGTGGGTGCTAACCCGCTGCTTCAAAAGCTCTTTATACAATTTATCGGAGACTGGAAGTTGCCACATATGTCAGCCATAAGAAATCTTGCTTCGCACGGCTCGCAAGGTTGATCCAGATGCCAGTCCGTGACACCCGGTGCTGGGTGACTGTTCAGAGAGCAGAGGCAACTTCGAGCATGGAGTGAATGCTGGTTTGATGTGCATGTCAATGAAATCGTTCAAATTCATCTGCGCGGACCAGGTTGCAAGTCCATTCAAATCGTTATATCCTTTGATAAGTCGGGTGCCAACTTCAAAGCTGACAAGAGAGAGAGAGAGAGAGAGAGAGACAGCGCGCTGGCTTCCGTATACCTAGCAACCATACCTTATTTCTTGCTTCCGCACACCGAGCAACCATGTCTTTTGCCGAGCCCCCACAAGGCCCCGAAACAGGGGCGTGAAGCCCGGCAGAAAGAAAGAGAGAGGGAGACAGCCATTTCATCTCCTCTTACTTAGGGCAAAGAAGGAGAGTCCAAAAACGGCGAACCCCGAAAGAAGCCTCGCCGCTTCACAGACGAGAACTGTCGTGGGGTAGGCCTTCGGGCCAGGGTTCCTTGGGGGCCCACACCCCTTGCAAGCAAGCAAGCAAAACAAAGCAAAGCAAAGCAAAGCAAGCAAAGCAAAGCAAAGCAAAGCAAAGCAATCAAGAGAGGGATTCAACCAGAAAGAGGAGGAGGAGTCAGACTTTCTCCGGTGAAGGAGGAACCGAGAACAAAGGAGGGAGAGAGACAGCTAGTAAGCTAGATAGATTGATAGAAAGATTCACCCATCAAGCTGGATGGCGAAGCGGGAGGGGGAATTCCCTGTGTTTACCTGACAGTCTCTTTTTCGCAGCCTCGCCTCTTTGTTGGGGAAGATGGTGAGGTTGGGATGTTTGTAATTTCATAACTAGCTCCACTCCTGGGGGCAACATAGACGACTTCGGACTCATCCCATCATGCCTGGCCCCTCGGCCCTCGACAACCAAGCCGATGCTTGCGCAGTAGGGAGGATTTGGCAATTTATTGGAACTTGGGGACGTTGGTGTTTGCAGTTGCAGGGCGAAAAAGCTGGGGATAAAGATCCCAACCACTGCAGGGCTCAAGCCGGAATGCCTTTACAGCACACCCACAATTGTCTGAAGGTGGAACCACGGGATTAGCTGCACGGCGGTGCCCGAGATACTTACGGTAGGTACAGGCCTACATAGGCCTCAAGTACTCGCAATAACAGGCTCTCACGTCGAGAATAACCACGTTTGGGTGTGGGCTGATATTCAGATGCTTCTGCTACATTCGGTGAACGGTACCGCCTAGAGCCGTGTCTGCCTGCTCTGGCACACTTCATGTGCAGGGCCTTCGAGCCGCAGACTGGAGTCTGGTAGGCAGTGGCCCAAGCTGTTGAAAAGTGCTTGCCGCACAGCGGTTCTGTTTGTCCAGTTTTCTACGTGCTGGGTAGAGTCTCGTGATCAGGGCAAGACTCGAAGAAGCGACGGTTCAAGACCCCTTGAATACAACAAAGAAATGACACTTTTGTTTGCACCGGAAACTCACTACAACAGAAATCGGTTGTCCGAAGAGCAAAGAACGGGTACTCAAGGCTTGACTAAAAAGTGGAGCACAGGTGGTGGCAAATCGGACCCTTATTGCATTGCCCGGAGCCCAGTGTTGTCTTTTGCTAGGCTCGGGCCTATGCATCAATATGACTCCAAGCACGTGCTTCATCATCTCCATCGTCGTCCTCCTCCTCCTCCTCCTCATCATCATCATCATCATCATCATCACCATCGTCATCATCGTCATCGTCATCAACATCATCATCATGACTTTGACCTTTATCGGAATGTCATACCCGGTGTGACAACGAGTTTCGGCGATGAGCTGTCCGAGTTTCTGTAGCTTCGGCTTCGCTGGTTGCTGTGAAGTGACAGGTCGGCATTCCTCACAAGAAGCATTCCACATGGAGAACTTGCATCTTGTTCAAGGCCTGGCGTTACTGTTCAAGAAGTGCTAAGGCATTCGTTGGCTGTGCTTGATGGCGAATATGCTGGAATTCGGCTGGCAGGAGCTCAATCCGACGTGGGATGAGGAGGACTGTATCTGAACAGAAGCCGAGCTGGGTGCACCTGGTAAAGAGGCGAAGAGGGGTTATCCCCTTTGTCATGTGGAGGAAGAGATGATCAACTACGAGCCGGGTGACAACATAAAGTTCCAAGTCATGGACTATGACAAGAAAGGCCACTGCCAGCATGTGCCAACCAAACAGTCTGTAAGCAACCCTGAACCAGACCAATGTTGGCCAGTTCGCCCTTGACCCCATCTTGAACATGGTCTTTTGTTCAACGCGGAACACAGATCAAGATGACCATCTCGGATCAGCCCTGCTACAAAGCGGCGATTTCCATCCAGACGGCTTCGAAGGCCTTCCAACAGTCTGGAGCAGGAGCCCAGTTTCAGCAGTGGCAGCGACTGCTCGGCGTGTTCTATTTCGCGAGCCGTTTAGAATTGCTGTGTGTATGTACATTTACACGCATGGTTCGTCCTATGTGCCTTTCGATTGGCCGTTTATGCACATATGCACCTCTGTGTGCGCCATCTCTTTCATGCTGTGCGTGAAGCGTCCGATTGTGCTTTCGCCTAATGGTGTCTACTAGCTCTACCGTTTGCTGTAATAATGAGAAGACACAGAGAGATCCTTGCCATTATAAATAAAGAAACCTCATAAACGAGTGCTTCGACAATTGAGTCCCAACTCCAAAAGCTGTTTTCTCCTTCTTAAGAAACATAGAAGCTCCTCGGCGAGTGAGGTTTCTTTGTTTATAGGAGGGCGCGTAAGGATTTTCTTCGACAGCACGAAGTAAGAGAGCTCCTTCAATTTCTTCTCGTCTATCCTTGTCACAAACGTAAAACGGCACCTTTCTGCAAGAAAGCTCCACTATGTCTTGTGGCACCATCTATGACAGCTATTAAGACGACCGCCATGGACATCGCGATCGGTATCGTTTCTCAAGATATGAAGGAGGCAGCTTCAACAACGTCAATTTTTTGCTCTGTGCCGAAAAGAAAAGAAGTCAACTGCCGTTTAGTATAATATACCAGTAAACAAACTTTTTGATCTGCTGCTAAGATTAAGGAAGTATTCCTTGAAGATTGAAGTGGGCTCCTCTTAATGTTGTGTTACGTTCTATGGCAGCTATTAGGCAAACAACCATGGACATAACGATCCGTACATTTTTCCAGGAACAGACTGCATCGATAAGAGTAAATGAAAACTCCCTGTTTCATAGGAAGGAGCATAGGAAGTCTCCGCTGTCCGATAATGATAGCAGAATGTAAGCGGAGTTCCTGAAGTCGTCAGTATGAATTAACTTTGTGCCGTGTTATTCCTTGAAGACTGAAGAGAGCTTCCTTTATCTTGTGATACGGTGTTTCGTGTCCTGGACATCGCGAAACACTGTAATGCTCGAGATCCCAAAATGTTCAACACTGAAACTCACCAAGTAGTGATGCTCAACAACATCAAAAAAACTCAATACTTCTGGCATCCGTGGCTTGGCTGGTCGCGAACATCTGCAAAAATTCTGGATTTTTTGAGCATTACAGAGTTGCGTGTCCTGGAAAGCCCTGAAAGACTGTACATAATGTTCAATAATATCAAAAAGTCTCAACCCGAAAACTCACGAACCATTGTAATGCTCAATACGTCGAAAAATTAGAAACTTTTGGAGATTTCACTACCCCTCCCAGCCATAGAGGCCACGATTGTGGAATTTGGTGAGCATTACACCGTCTCGTGAGTTTTAAGGTGGGAAGTTTCCGATTTTTTGGAGCATCACAGTGTTTCGCGCACCTCAGGCTTCCATGAACCACCAGTGCCGTGGATCCGGGAAAAGGGGGGGGGGGCATGCGTACATAATATCAACAAAATATAAGTCAATAAACACATTAAATAAAAAACGAATATATCTACTCTATTTATCTACCTATCTATGTATCTATATATTCATGTATCTATCTATGTATGTATCTATGTATGTATGTATGTATGTATGTATGTATGTATGTATTTATGTATGTATTTATGTATGTGTGTGTGTACGCTTGTACACACACCCACATTTGCCAACCTTTGCATGTGCTTGCAGTGAAATGTTAGTCAAGACATCTTCCTTAGCACAGCTTATTGGAGGTGAACTAAGCATCGGTGAAGGTACTTTGCCCGGCGCTCGGTACATATCCACAAGAAGACGAGCTTGAAGCAAGTTACGGCAAATATCGGAGGCATGTCAAGGTCGACATCGAGCTGCCTGAAGACGACGAGGAAGTGAATGATCCGGCCAGCCATGTAGGCAGGAAGTGCACGGAAGTGCCGACGCTCAAAACCTCTGTGTATCGCGCTTCCAGACTCAGTGGGTTGCAGTGCCCTGGACCACAGCCCGGCAAGCCCAAGCTCCCAGAGCAGCGTCGATTGGACCATTGCTTCATGGTACGTTGCTCCATGAAACCTTTTCCGGAAGCTTTGCGCTAGTGGCCAGGTCCGCGAGTGACTCGGCGCAACAATTGGATTCACTAGTTGTGACGCCAGTTCTCGCTGGCAGTGTTTCGGAAAGCTAGTTCTGCAGTATAAGGCTGATCTTGCAATCAGGAACTTGTGAACATGCTATGCAGAAGTGCAGAAGCGCTCGGAAAACCAGCAAGTCATATGGCCACTCAGCCAACCCATGGACTTGTGGAATTTGGACCCTGCCATGAAAGCCTGCAAGATATCGATCCCACCAAAGATCGCGTAAGAGTAAACAAGCCTCAACCCTGACACATGTCAAGAGTAGTGGAGTTGGTGAGCGGTAGGGTGAGCCACTGCGCATGTCAGAGCCGACGAAGTCTCCTGCAAGATGCCAAAATCCTGTTGAGGATCGCGAGCCGGCGCCCTTCCAGCTTCGAAGTCTGGTGCTCTGGGGCCCGAAAGTTTGAAGCGGTTTTCGACCCTTGACAAGGTCGAAGAATCAGAACAGTTTTGGGACCTGTGGGCTAGCTTGTCATAGTTCCATCGGATCTCTGATATGGTGAGCTGCAAAGATGTATCCGAACTCTAGTCGTGAAAAGCTTGGCACCAAGGCATGGACACGCATCGCTCGCCGCAGCCTTGAAGAAGTTGTCGCTGAGGGGGTGGGCAGCTGTTGAGCCACGAGCAGAGTGCCCACACTGAGCAGCACTTGCCAAAATCCAGACCTGCAGTGGCGAACGGCTCTTTTTGCTCATTGGGTGTTTGTTGTCCAAGCTGGACAGTGCCTACAGTGCCAACACTGACGAGTAAAGCAACAAAGTAAGGTCGACCCCCGAAAGCTTGAGTCCCTCACGCGGGTTAGGCTTGTGGCTTCCGCGTTGCGTGCATGCCTTTTATCTGCGTGCCCGGTTGCCAACGAACTGCGAATGTGTCCGCCCCTGATTACCGACACCAGCATTCGATCTTGCAGGGGAGTGTCGTCTCGAAGATGTCAACTCATCTGTTGGGAGATGTAAGCAATAAATCAAGTGGCACAGGTTCCATGACCAATGACGAAACTGCCGTTGGTTTTGCACATTGCTGCCGACAGTCACATGGACAGTTGTTGCTGGCGATCCAAGTTGACAAACAAACTAGCAAGCATTGGCGGGGAAGCATAGCTGAGAGGAGCGAAAGAGAAGTCTGGACGGACCAGAAGCTTAAGTGCACAAAAAACTGGTAGCCGTGTTAATGATTTAATGGATTGTGTCAAAGCTGCACAGACACTGTCGGAGCGTTGGTGCCATTGCAACCGACACGCGCGCAAGATCCAAGATCCAGATTCGTTGGCGCTCAGCCAAGGCACAGACTTGTCGCCTACACCAGGGTGGGCCTGCCCCTTAGAAGCGCGGGGTTTTTGGATGGACTTTGTTGCGGGGCCAGCATGAGCACTCTGCCACCATGTATCAAGGCCGAAGCAGACGATTACTCGAAGAAAAGGCTGCTGGAGCACTTGATGTAGTCCGGGCTTTGCTGTTTGCATTTGTGAACTCCGGCCTTCAAGACACACAGCCCGCAGCATGACTTATGACATGTGCAGTGTGGCATGGTTTGCCACAGCCGTCCTGTCAGATCGACCTCGTGCTCGACTCGCCTGGGAACTGCGATGTGCAGCACCTACATCGGCGCATGGTGGTGCGAGAACAGTGCAAAAAAACAAATTCCAGAAGCAAATGTTCCCATGCCCCTACTCCGTCAACGCGAGTCACGAGACTTTACCTTCTTTTGGCAAGTGTCAGTTGCCGAAAACGGCTGGGACATGTCACCGCTCAGCAGAGCTCGCTCCAAATGTGGTAGTGTAGAAAGCCATATCCCATCGCATGTGCGAGGGTGTGCTTGACCTGTTAGGGGGTGTTTAGCAGGCTATGCAGGCTAGCAGGCTAGCAAGGTGGACGCTGGCTGTGCCGTTGCAGGTGTCTCGGCTGCATGCGATCATCAAGTGCTGGAGAGGGCAGTGGCCTCGGATGACATAGCAGGCAGGCACGAGAGTCCTGCAGCAACTCCTGGAAGGCCAGATCCCAACACCTGGCTCGCCCGGATATATGATGAGAAGGCCGTGTCGTTCAAAGTGACACCGTTCATTTTGAGCCGAGCTTCGTTTTTCCTTCAGGGCATCGAGGGTGGCCCGGGCGCAGGGCCCGGTGGCGGGCAATCTGGGGGTGGCACTACCGTGGACGGCGAGATGGTGGACCCGATTTTAGGCCGCCAAAGAGAGAGCGAGCGAGCTGCGAGCTGCGCTGCGCCGGCGTCTGCTGCGCCTGCGTTTCAGCGAGGCACGGCTCTCGAAACCGGCAGCGTGCCCCCTGCCCCGGCTGTTTTGGCTCGTGATTCCCACATGCTCGTGCTTTTCATTCGTTTCCCAATCGCGGCCTTTCAAGCGCAGTGAAGTGTAGTTATGAGTGTATATGTCGTCCGTCGACGACTTCCTGCAATACTAGGTAAAACTATCTTGAGCAATGTTGATAGTTGATGGTCCCTGCTCTCGTGTCTGACATTCCTGTGTCGGGATGCTGCACAACTAGTGTTTCTGTCGCTGGTTTCTCGCTATGCTAGCCCGGCACATAGCATCCACACACATGTCTTCAGCATGCCACGGGGGCAGCACTGCCAGGTACTGCGGTTCGGTGTTCGGGAGATGTGGGTATTCGAGTCCACTGCTCAGAATTGTGACCGAACGGGCGAGCTGTTTGCCTGCAAATGCTTTGTGTGCTTAAGGCGGGCACCCATGCACCTCCGCAGCCAGGCTCAAATGTCCCCGTCGTGGCAGATGCTACCATATACAGTGGCTGTTGGCCTAAATTCAAGCCTGTCAGCTTTCACTCCACTTCAGCCGTTTCGTTGCGATTGTTAGTTGCATGCTTTTCTGCCTGCCTTTGTTCTTGCTGCGGTTCCACTAGTGCAGCCTCGCCAGGATGCAGAAATAGCCTGCAACAGAGCTGCAGCAAACTCACAGGAGGACGGGTGATCAATAGCGTGCTGTCGCATTTGCGATTGAGAAAGGGTGCTTTAATTTCATTGTCGTGGCTTGTGCTCTCGTGTATGCGCTTCTGCTTCCAGGCTTCGAGTTCAACGGGTAATGCGGCAGAAAACAGCGGCTAGGCTTTGCATGTTGGAAGATTTCGACATGTACACATGACTTTTCAAAAAGAGTTTCTAGAGAGACTTGTCAGCCGGTGAAAACTCGATTCCAACCCGGCAGCTCGGCCATCGGCCAAGTCTTAGTGGATGCTAATGAAGCTGAATTCCTCATCTCCGGCATCCACTCTGCAGCGGACACAGCAAGGGAACTGCAAAGAATTCGCAGCCAGGGCAGGCAGAGTGGACCCATGTCCCATGTTTGCATGTGTCAATGCTCGGCATATCAAATTGCCCTGCAGAGGATCCGGCATTGATACGATCATTGAAGATTCCTAGCGTGCGGCTCAGACTTCTAGACAGCTAGCTCGAATCATGTCACGGGCGCGATGTTGGATTGCTTATGATGGCTTGTCTGTCAACTTCTTGTCAATTGCGGGCAGATGACAAGAGCATCCGCATGGCGCCCCGATTGAGGCAATGCTGTGGACTCGGCGCTCCAGCGCTGCCCTGACTGGTTCTCCATCGTGAGAGTGCCCTCCTCGTCTGAACGCAACACCAGATTGCAGTTGCCATGGCAGACTCTGCCAAACAGCCTGCTCCGCCCCTTACAAGGCCACGTTACAGACAAAGCAGGGATCCGATAATCCATGATCCTCCCGTCCCTCGGAATAAGCTGGGCTGCGACTGTTGCCAAGGTTGTCTTAGAATGCCGGCTGGAGCCCGACGAGCCAGCCTGAATCTGCCTCAGACGCATGCACTGACATTTCCCGGCGGTCTCACACGCTTACGTTAAGACTTTAAGTGTTGGCATACGTCCTTCTGTGACCCACAATCGCCACCTCACATCATTTCCGCACTGCCCCGATGAAGCCTCAAAGTCTTTCAGAACAGGTGTGGACTGCATCGAAACCCAGGATGAGTGCGGGCGGACTGTCTGGAACCCAGCACCAAGTGGCCATTCCGGAGTTGAGGAATTCCAGAACAGTATTGCCACAGCCTTGTTTCCTTGTTGGTACTTGAACAGCATGCTCCATTTTGCTGTTGCAGGCTGACATGGGTGTGTACTCAGTGGCTTCCAGTGCTGGTAATACACAGCATTGATGGGGCAAGCCGTTCGAAAGACTGCAAGGTTGGAAGACACGAAGCCTACACGTGTTGGGCCTAACTGGCTAGGATGCCGGCGGTTGGAGCCTGCAAGATGCGGCCGTCTGCTTCTCTATAATCCCGCAGCAAGGGTAGACCCGTAGACAGGTAGCGCAACACTCAGGTTGATCGCACAGCAAAAGTACGACATACACAGGATCCTTCGCGAGGCCAGAGGGTACCAGGAACCAGGGTCAGGCGGTGCAGAACGCTTTGAGGTTTGAAGAACTGACACGCATGGCACATACTTGTGAGCCTGCCTGCAGATCAAAGTGGGCGGCACTGTTCGGTTGCGCCTCTCGTCCCGGGCTCAATTCGAAGCGCTGAGTGGTGCGACATTGAAATGATGCTGTGTATGAGAGCTTGTGCTCAGAGCCAAACTCAGTGCCTCATTGCTTCTGTCTATGACTCGTCGAAATTGTGGGCAGTCTGCGCAGGAATGATCCGAAGCTGCTGGCACCTATCCTGGAGTACTTGGATAAGCGGCTTGTCAGCTCCTGGCGGTAGTCCTGAGCTTGCCAAGCCGGTGGAGAGCTGGTTGTATAGCTTGAATTGAACACAGTTATACAGTTGCTTTTTGTTCCAACACATTCTGTGATTCTCTAGTGGCGGTGTTCGTCAAGACTGCCTGATCCTTGGCCTCCTCATCCGTTGCACAACCTTGCCCGATGAGGCAGCGGCTTGCAATGCAAGAAGTCTACGAGAGCCGAGCACATGTGGCCCTTGCACGATTACAGCTTTCGGCTTGTGTTGTGTAGATTTTCTGCCACGCACCACTGAAGGAACCAAGGGGGTGCGAATCGCTTTCAATCAAGCCTAGAGAAGAAGTCCAAATGTTACGAGCGCCGGTCGAGCATGGGGAAACATCCTGAACGGGGCTGGGTTTTAACTTGCGTGTTGCAGGGTTTCATGTCTTCGCTGCCCACCTGTGGCCCCTGTGCAGCAAACAAGCTATGGCAGCAAAAACCCATGACGGCAAACACGAAGCACTGAGAATTTCATCAACAGCCAACAGCTGCATCTTCCCAAGATGCCCTGCTTGCCCCCGGTTTCTGTCTTTCCGCTATCGCTTGTCCCCTGATCGCGCCGCCTGCTTGTCTTCCTCCTGGCTTGCCCGTGACTAATCCTCCGTCCGATCCCTGTTTCCTCTGTCACTCTGTCGGCTGTGCTCGTACCCTGTGCCCTCGCATTCTTCCCTAGCCTGTTTTGCTGGCCCTTTCCTTGCACACTGTCCACATCGTTGTCGAGTCTGGGGGCTTTTATTGGTTCTCCGATTCCATCGTCCTGCCCCGACGGATCAAAGACATGCAATGCCATGTGGACGCAGGGAGTGAGCGTCTCCCAGTTATGGGGTGTATGCCGACATGATTCTGTGTCCATCTGCCACGCTTGCCAGCTTGTCCTTGCAGTGGCTATCTGACTTGTCCCCGTCTTGCCTGTGTCGGATCTCCTATCCCGGGTTCCGTCAGTTCCTGTGTTCCCCGTTTGCGCTCCGACCTCCTTAACTTCGGGACCCTGCTCCCGTTTGCTGCTCCTATGCTGCTGCCGGCTGTGCCCTTGGTTCCTGGCCTTCCTCCCTAACCATTCTCTGCGTTGTCGCCTCAGGCCGCCTCAACGTGTTGTATCTCTGCGTTCGCGGCTTCTGTCCCCCGCGGCCCCCTTCACCTGAACTTGAGTCGTACTTCTTGTAAACGAGAGCGTGTGTTGCAGGTATGGGATGTTGCCAATGTAGTCGTGTGCCGAATAGGTGTACGGCATGTTTGAGCCTGGATTTTTTGGAGTCGCATTGCAGATTCAGAAAAGGCTTGCAAGTCCTTGAGATGCAGCAGATGCACGATGTGCAGCGGCAGATTCTGCACTTCATGCATTTGGTTTCCTGCCCCAAAGACTACCACAAAGAAGGCAAGACCACAACTAACTGGCGCCCTGGAGCATAAGCAAGGAAGGCTACCATCAAAGGCCAGACTAGCGTAAAGAAGGTCGTAGGAGTACAACTGTAAACGAGGTCCACATTTAAAAACAAACTGCATAAAAAGAGATCGGCTGTCAGTCTGGCTGTTTGATGTGTCAGTTGAAAAGAGTCTCAGAATGCCTTGGAGATCATCCGTCATGGCAAGTATGGCCTCAGGAATTACAAAGCTTTGCTTCACCACGCCAAGCATAGGAAGCCATTTTGCCTTCGACAGGCGGCCTGGGAGTGAGATGACGAAGCAGGTTTCACCGTTTCACCTGGAGCAGAATTTGACTGAGAGTTTCAGCTGTTTGGGGCTTTTGTGCGAGATTGCCAAGACCCCAAACTCCAGGGCAATACATAGGCTGGGAGTTGTGCGAAAACCCCAGGGAGCTGAAAGGCTCATGTCGCAGAGTGGATAGTTAAAAGGGCAGGAACACGTCTTCCAGCATGTGCCGACTTGCCATTGTTACGACTCTGCAGCGTAGTTTCTTGTCATGTGCTACGTCCTCGGTAGAAGGGAGACCTGCTGGATGCCCTTTCCATCTCAAGTGGCACAGCCATGCCGTCGCCGTGCCTTCCGTGATTTGCAGAAAGCGCTCTGGAGGCTCGGCTAACCGGCTAACCTTCGTATTCGTAGTTCAGGCGTCAGCTGGTGCGCTAGTCACTGTCTTCCCGGCATTTAGAAGCGATGTAAGCTTTTCACGGTTCTAGTAACTGAGTTTGCAGTGCCGAGCTTTTTACTGCAGGTTTGGTGATGCGGGGCTCAGACCACCGCTCGCCGGCCTCGCTCCCAGAGGCTTTCGCAAGAAAAGACAGTGCTCACGGGCTGGGCCCTGGCCTTTTGTAGGGCCTCGAACAGCGGCGAACTCGTTTGCCCACTTCGAAGTGTGACCTTTGACTTCTGGAATTGGGTTTCAGAAGCGTCGACGGAAGCACCAGGGTCAGAGGAAGGGTGGGACGGACTTGAAAGGGAGCCAATCGCGATGAAGTCTCCGCGGCCTATGGATGAAGAGTTTGTTTTACAGAGTGCAAAAAAGATGTACGGCTCGAAAGTTTTCACCCAGCCCCGCGCCGTTTTGGCTAGAAGCAAAGGAAGTCAAAGAGTTGGTTCGAACCTCCGGATTTGCATCGGCTTGGACCTGCAGAGCCTAACCTGTGCAAAGGGCAGATGCGTGCATTTTCACCGGCAGGAACTTGCGCACTCCGCCCCTTTTTATCGATGCAATCTTTTTGGACGAATGCTCTGCTATGTGGCTATGTGGTTAGCAAACGTGAGATTCTAGCTCATGAGTTCTACCATGATCGAAGCCATTGGATGTTGCTGATGCGAACGATTTGAGGTTAGGCAGTAAGGCTGAGACATGCTGTGCCAATGAACGGACAATGCATCGATCTGAGTTTCACATCCGTTTCGGAAAGATTCGCCCATGCCGTGGTTGACTCTGGGGCTGGACCATTTGCGTTTCTTGTTTGTGCCTTCTGCATGCTTCTTGGCCGCATTCTGGCTTTGAACTTGCCACGTGATTGTTTGGTAGACAGACCCAATTCAGCATGATAATTTACGAATGTTGGGAGCTCTTCTTGTCCAAGTTCAAGCCTGCGGTTCACACCTAGTGGGCATGAACAAGCACGATCTTGCTCTACCCAAGGACCGTCACAGTGTCCCGCAGGCACAGGCCTTCTGATGTCGGCCTTCGCCTCCCAGCTGTTGGCAACCCCGCAGTCGCCCGGCAGTTCAGAGTCCTTTGTTTACAGCAATGTCCCTGCATCCTGAATTGTGGCGTTGTGTAAGAGCTGCTTGGGCACACATGTCGCCATTCCTCATCGCATCAACGACCACGAAACAGTCGGGAATAGCTTCAAGAGGTATATCGCCTGTTTCACAATGACTGCCTTGCCCAGAAACAGAGGGGATATTCTACGCGTCCTGACAGCGATCCTGATCCTGAGGTATTTGCAGCAAGAGCTGTGGAGATGTGCTCTCTCGTATTGAGCCTTGACTGCATTGCCTGGGCTCGCAAGGCTTGCTGGATCCTCAAGTCCTCCAGCTTGCGGCCCTTCGTGGCAACGTCTCCGCCACTGCAGGTGACTCCCAGGAGGACTCAGACAACGATTGCATCAGACTGTTTTGTGGGGACCGCCTTCCTCCCGACATTGCAAGCGAATTCGTGGAAGTAGCCGGGCTGCAGGGGCAGCCGGGTGCTCGCTGCACGCCACTGCCACAGGAAGCAATTCTGAACTTGCGTCTAGTCGACCAATGGGGCAGGAACAGTCGAGAGTGATTTTGCGTCGGCGGCCAGGGTCCTTCAACGGCATGAGGGTTGTTTCCTAACTGTCTTCCAACCAGCCCATTGTATACCTGCTAGTCAGCGCGGCATTCGTACTTTTTTGCCCTTAGGGTGCTGCTAGAAACTCTGCTAGAAGCTGCTCAGTCCAGGCCAAAGCCAGTTGCTATGGGTCAGTGCCTCCGCTGGCAGCTGCCACAGTAACGTGCAACAACATACAATAGAAACAGCACGCGGGACCAACTTTTGGAAGAGCTTTGTTGCTTCATGTTCACATCAGCATCATAAGCCAACGCTTTGAAAGCCCGTGGATGCAAGGGCGAGAGCCTCGCAAGCTCCGCAAAGGTCGACTCAACACATGGCTTCTGGGAATGTACGAGCTCGTCTCCTGACGCAGTCAAGTTCTTTCAGGAGCCTTGTGCGAGTGCGCTCGAGTCTTCGGCTGACTTCGACTAGGCGGCAGGGTGAAAGCGAGCAAAGCGCAGCAGAGCATCAGGAGACCTCAGCTTTGCGACTCGTCGGCCGATTGCGTCGCGGCGGTGCGGCAGAGGTCGTTTCGAGTTTTCGCGTGGACTGAGCCTTTCTCAAAGCTTGTAGCGCCAGGCCGAGCTGGAGCTGGCTTTCCGTGGCACCGACCGTATTGCGAACTGGTGCCTTGTTCTGAACTCCTGGGAACCGGGCAACTGCCTTCGGACAAGGCAGGTCCACTATAATCTGGCTGCTAGCCTGTGGCGCTTGTGAGACCCGATGGCCGAGAAACTACACCAACCGTTGCAGTTGGCGCTGCCCTGTTCGATGTTGGTATTTACGGAGTTTGTTTTCGGCCTTTTGCTGGAATGTTTCCTGACAGGGCCGGCGCTTTGGTTTTGGATCTCGTGGGTAAAGTGCCATGACAGATAATCTTGACTCAGGTACTCCACTTGTTTTTGTATTAAACTCTTGTCCCAGGCTCACGAACTTCACCACGTCGCTGGTGCCTTGCGAAGTTGGCAGCCAGGCATCGCGCGTGCCCTGCCATGTCTCGGATAGCCTTTGCTATTATAGACATGTTGAACCATAGCCTCACATAGGAGCTCCAACTCACTCACACTTGGCCTGTAGAAGCTGGGGCGAGGCTCCGGCCCCAGATTTTGCGCAGAAGGAAGGCTTCTATGTGGCAAGCTTGCCATAAGCGTACGGGAATTATGATTTTTAATTTGATAGAAAATAGCGAATCTTGACTCCAAGCAGGCGCCATTGTTTTGAAATCCACAAGCTTCCGTGCGTGAAATGTATAGATTCTGCCCGAGACTTGAGCAGTTTTCTGCCGTTTGAACTGCCTTGAGGGGGGGCGGTAGGACTGGCCGCAGACGGCCCGCCCTGGAAGGACTTTGAGTGACCTGAATAGGGGGTGACCGCGATAGAGAGCCGGCTGTCCCATCAAGAGCAACGCACCCGAGTGCCGAGCAACCCAAGCTGAAACCGCAGGCACTGAAAAGCCATGCCGCGGACCCTCTAACCGACACAAGCAAACCCTGCAGGTGTAATCACTGCTACTCCCCGGCTTTATGATTGCAGTGTTGCTGTGTTGTTTCTGTGAGTTTTCGAGCTTTTAGCGGTGAAGCCCGCTTCCCCTTTGCCTTTGCCGTTGTCTTACTGAGCGGCCGCTGAGCCAGAGCTTTCTACCACACTATGAAAACATGGGCCCTATCGTTTGAGTGCGCTTTGGCTGCTTTTCTTCAGCTTAGCACATTCTGCGAAAGGTGCAAGTCACTAACGGCCCTTTGTTTTGCCAGCAGTCAAGTGGGAATAAAAAAGAAGTAATTTTTTCCGTTGAACAGGGGTTTAGGTAACCCCGAATTTAGTACGAGGAGAGGGTTTAACTCGCACCGAGGGGAGGAAATACACATCTGACAGTGTCCAGACTGGGGTTAAGCAATTGGAGACCGGCCTGGCATGCATCCAAACAACAACCGTTTCAACGCCCACACTGGGGTCAAACATTTCCGGGCCGGGCCTGGCACACATCCAAACATCAAACGTTTCAGCGTCTACACTGCGGTCAAACATTTCGGGGCCGGGCTAGGATTGCATGTAAACATCAACCGTTTCAACGCCCACACTGGGGTTAAGCATTTCGGGGCCGGGCGTGGCATACATCCAAAATCAACCGTTTCAGCATCCACACTGGGGTTAAGCATTTCCGGGCCATCCAAACATGGACCGTTTCAGCATCCACATCCGGAAGATGTGTTTTGTAACCACTTCGGCGGCAGCGGCTACTTGCGGAACGGACAAATCGTGCACCTGTGCTAAGAGCTTTATATAACACTTTCGGCGAGGGCGTCTACTTGCAGAACTGACGAATAGGCTGTCTCGAATTTATGTGTGTTGTAACCATCTTGGTGGAGGCGTCTACTTGCGGGACGGACAAATCGCCTGCATGTCTTATGTGCTTTGTAACACCTTCTGCGACGGTGATGATGCTGATCACGAGAGTCTCGGAGAGGCTGGCATGGTCCACCAAGGCTTCCAGGCTCGGAGGGTTGTTCTTCGCGTCGTTCGAGTTGTGTGTGGTCGAGTCGTTGCTCTGCCTGTCAGAAAGCTTATCTTAGTCTTCGACCTGTGCTGCTGGACAAGATCCGCGACTGCTTGAAAGCAGCTCAGTTGCTTTTTGCTGGTACGCATGCCAAACTTTCAGGGTGCGTTTGTCATGCGCCCAATTGCTGTGGCATTTGGGTACTTAGAAACTTCAGCCGTCATGCCAAAGGAACATGGGCTGACCCAACGAGCTTCCCTCCATATGCGCGTCACGGGGCACAGTCTCGGTGGTGCGCTGGCCATGCTGCAGCTAAGCTCAAGCTCAACACGACTTTAAAGCGACATGACAAGTCGGTCGTGCTTGATATAAGACCAAGACCGCCAGAGGTAAGTGTCAACTGCAGCTTCAAGGCGTCTCAGGACAGGGTGCATCAGGGTGCCTTGTGACTGAGGTGTGCCTACGACTTTGTGCACAACTACGGTTGGGAAGCTTGGCTCCTGGCCACGACTGGACGGGAGAGCAACGAGAGCAAATGAAAAGATCAACAGGGTTGGAGCTACTGAGCTACGTGGGCTCAGCTCAGAACCGACGAAGACGCAAGCTCATCACGATGTGTCCAGCTGCAAGGTGTGTGACCTGGGGGAGCCCGCGTTTGGGCGATGCAGCTTTCGCGGCAGCCTTTCAGAGGCTAGTTCCACGCATGGCGCGATTCATAAACAAGATGGCGTCTTGGCGGATTCGTGCAACTTCAGCATATTTGTTCTGTGTTCCTCGCCGGTTTTGGGGTGGCGGGGTGAATTGGCCACTTGTGATGCCGGGTGTCTTCAGGAGTGCTGTCCGCAGAAGTGAGATTGGTTGCCGGTGCAGCCTGCTTGGGATTGCCGGGTCTCGTGTAATGACGGTTCGTGAGTTGTGCTTGAGGGCAAACTGATGCCTGCGGCTCAACCGTTTCGTAGAGCCACAGGTTGTAACTTGTCGATTCTCAGCCTGCCAGTTGGATGGAGAAATGGGCCATGCCACCTGATTCATAGAGATGCCCTAGCCTCCCGTTTCATAAACTGAACAGACGTGGCCCGGCCCACCCATAGACAGCAGCGGGATTCTTCCAATGGGCAAGACGCACGATGATACATGGAGTAGTACGAGTATTAACTGGAGAGTCGGCCGCGCGAAGCTACATGCATGTTGTCAATGAGCTGCCATGAGAAGCACGTGCCTTTTCTGCTGACAAGGACGTGGTGGCCTGCTTGCCTGCCAACCCCAAAGACCCGAACGACAACAATAGAAAGGCGGCTTGGGCATGCACGAAAGCAGCCGTCCTGCAGTTGGTCGATAATTAGGCAGCCATGAAGCTCCGGTTCACGGCTGGGTTGCAATGCATGCTACTCAAAATAAAAAATCTTACAAGATGTAATACAACTCTGCATGACCCTAGGTGAGCACCGTTCTATCCACTGCCTTCTCACCGCTGCAAAAGGCCATGCAGGCTCATGATTACAGGCAGCCTAGCCAGCACTTCTCAAGTGTGGGGGAAGCAGCGGGGCTCCCTAGTTGCTCGCGCAGGTCAATGTTCGATAGTTTGTTAGCTTGCCAACGGCCGAGTTGCTTGCCTTGTCGCGCATCTGTTCTAGGTCTTGCGAGAGCTACGTGGAACATTTGCGCCCGAATGCAAGGCATGTCTGCACCGCGGTCATACTGGACCCCACCACAAGCAAGTCGCTCCACATGATGTCCCTGGACTGGGATGGGATTAGCAGATTTCCAGAAGGACTCGGGGGAGCGCGGCCTGCTTGCTCTACTCGTAGACGCTGATTTGTGCGGCAAGTACGCATACAATCTGCAACAGATGCTGGATTGAACTAATTGAACTCAGGATTGCTGGGATGGAGGTGGCAGCGCTTGGACGCGAGGGACAGTCCGGAAGCTTGGGTCAGTTTGAGTTGGAATTGAACAGGAGGCGTGAAAGTAAAGGGCCAAGCCCAGTCCGGGCAATCGGCAAAGCTCTTCCAGACAGTTGAAGGGGAAAGGTTTGGAATGCCGAAGAGGTCCTACCAGACGGGCTTGGGGGCAACAACTCCCTGCGATGGAAGATGGATAGCGGCTCTCCATCTAGTAATTCAAGCACCTCCCTGGTGCCTGCTATCGCCTCTTCTGCACAATGCCACCAAGGAAGCGTAGCCGAGCATGTTGCCCGACCTCACTTCATCCCCTGCTATGCGGTGACCCGACTGGAACATCAGGGAACTGGAAAGCGCAAACGGCGGATTCAGTTTTTGGACGAAGCACGCTACGACATTTTGCGACCGGGTCTGGATTGTCTGCGATCTTTCTTGTAGCACAGGTGCACGTGCCAGAGCACGGCCCAACATCTCCTTTTGAAGCAGTTGTATTTGAGGTTGTGCGGCCGTGTTCTGGGCTGCATATCTTTGCACATATGAGCTTACTGGCAAAGTGCATAGATCCAAACTGTCGACCCAGAGCCACTTTGTCCTCGAGAGGAACATCTGGCCGCGGCGCTCGCTGCGCAAGCAGCTGCATTCGAGGCAACAGCGCGCAAATGAGGGAAGGACAGGTAGCCATGGGTGCTCTACCGCATAAGGCCGCAAGGATTCCGCTATGGAGTCGCTGCGAGCTGAATGGATAATTTGCCAACGTCGGCAGTTGTCTGATCGAATTTCTAGCACCTGGAAGGTACAGCCACGTCAAACGAACGAGTCGGCAATAGCCTTCTTTTGTATTTAGATCTGAAGTGTACCTTGTGGATCTCACCCAAGCACCACTAGCGCTTTTCCTTGACAGTCGACACGTCTCTGAGGCGCAGTCTGAAAATGCTTGGGCCACTCTCCCATCTGTTGGAACCTGGCTCAACCCACTGCCCTGGGAGGCGGTTTGGGAGATGGAAAGCCTGACGGTCGTGGATGTTGGATTTGGAAGAATTTGCAAGAGTTTTTTTAGCCATGGCTACAAAGAGGGCTGTTGCATTGAAGTTTGTTCGTTTGACGTTTATTGTCTCTGTAACTTCTGCCGTACTGGTCTGATTCGCACTGTCCGAAGTTCCAGCCGAAATCTGATACTCGCTGAAGCGGTTCAGAGTTCATCACCAACTCAACTTCGCAAGCATGGAAGGCCAACGAGGTTGCAGAAAACGGCGGAGGCAAGTCAGAGCTCCTTCGCCTCGCAAGTGCTATGTTCTATGGCGATGTGACCGGATGGGGGGAATGAGTGCAATCACCGACATAAGCAGCCGAGGAGCACCGCCTTTGACACCCGCGAGTTTCTCAACTACGGCTCATCCTTGCTCTCGGACTTTCGTGGAAGGGGACCTCGAGTGCTGGTCGACCTTCATGACAAGCTAGGCCTGACCGGTGCTAGAATCTGCTAGAACAGCTCTTGTTCTGTTAGCATCAGCTATCCGACTCGGCCGTTTTGTCAAGTCTCCCCGGTTTGTCAATGCTTAGCATTTGGAGGTGCTGACATGGAGGTGAAGCGTATTTGCAGCATGCGTTACATCTGGACAGCAATATGATGAGCGAGTTGTGACAATGGAGGCAGCTACACGAAGAAACAGCTGGAAGCGATGGGAGTTGAATCGAACAAAATCGCGAGACTCGGCAGCTATGAGTTGAGATCGTTTCGGATTCTTGGTGACATCTACGACGACAGTCTAGGCTCTAGGCTAGGTAGGGGCCTCGACTTGCCGCTTTGCATGGCAGAGCCAAGGAAAGTACCACTGGAAACTGTCTTGAGATCCGGCCCGGAACTGCTTCCGAGCTGCACAGTGTGGCGCTTGACATGATGTCTTCAGTGTCGTCTTTGCAGCGGTTCCGAGGCTTAACACGGAAGCCGGCCAAGCTCTACTGAGGCGATAGATGTGCCTCATATCCCTCCTCTCCGCACTCTGTCCCTCCCTTCCCTTCCTTTCCTTCCCTCCCCTCCCCTCCCTCCCTCCGCCTCCGGTTAGCACTGCGAGGCAGGGCCAGGAGCAACTGCTCACTATGCTCCCCATGCTGACTTTGGCTGCACAGAAAGACGGCCAGTCGCAAGCCTCCAAGCAGGCCTGGGCTCAAATTCTTCTAATAAGGGCTTTATTCAGCCCTAGTAACAGCTTTGGAGGGCTCCAGAGGCTCAAATAGAGGCTTTTTAAGGCTTTGTCATGTACGAAAAAAAGCCACCAAAATAAGAAATCGAGGGGCTCAATTTCTTATTTTGGGGTGTTCTGGCCGGCATCAGAAATTGTCCAGCTTTTGGAATGCGAAATCGAGCCCCTTAGTTTCTTGGTTCTCTTTTTTGTGCGAACAAAACCGGCGAAGACAAAATTGAGAAGAGCAAAATAAGACATTGGCTCGCCGAGTCCAGGGTAGCCAAAATTTCTTATTTTGCAATTTGCGCATGTTTTTCTTAAAAAAAAAAATGTCGCACGGCGGTCCGAGGGGCTCAATATCTTAAACCAGTGAGTTCTTAAGCAGTGCTGTTGCTGTACAAGCTTTAGGTCTTCAGGAAACTGCAAGATATCCGACCAAACTTTGGCAGATCCTGTATTTCTCGGTTGGAAGACCAGGACGCTCCCCTAATCATTCCAAGAATCACCCTACACCTGGGAGCCTGCGTGTGAGTATTCGGGTGAGCAATTTAAAGAAACAGTTTAAGTAAGCAAGCGTACCTGCCAAGGCCGACAAGTTTGTGCCGCAGCTTTTTGTGGCAACCCTGGCCCAGGTTCAGTTCGTTTAAGGACATTTAGCGAGTAATGTGCAGGTAACACCCCGTGACATACTGGCACACACCCTTCCCTCCTGCCATCCACGCGCCCAGCCGTCCATCCACGCGGTGCTTTCGGATGCCGGGTGCATGCAGCAACGAGTGAGCATGACCTAGCAAGGCTTCATGACTCCATCTCACCTTCCCTGCAATCTGTGTGCTTCCAGCCCCTGCAGATCTTGATGCAGATGGAAAGGAACGGACTCTCGGCAGATCAACGAGTTCCTTGCTTGGCCCTTGTCGCACTTTCCTTGTGCTCACAGCTCCCCACAGTCCCTCTCACAGGTCAAGGTCCCTTCCACTGCATCCGTGCAAAACTCGGCTGGTGTCCTTCTGTTCACCGAGGTGTCGCTTCAAAGCTGCTCGCCTGGAGCCGGGAGAAGGTGAAGCGGGCAGAGGGAACCGGGCAGGATTGCCAAAACTTCGGAACCGCTGAGTGAGGGTGTGAACCGGGCTGGCACGAGAACTCATTGGTCTGGGGAAGCATGTCGTTCAGTAGAACGTGGGCTGTACTTTCGGGGCAGGTGATCTCTCTGAAGCCCTGGCGGCTGTTTGGGCATCTTACGGCCCCTTGAAACCACAAGCAGCTGAGACTCAGAATCTTCGGAACCTTCGAAGCCGGGCATTAGTCGGACACCTTTGCCCGGGCTCTGGGCATTTCCATGGCTGGAGCCTTCACTACCAGCACACAGGTTCGGGATGCGGAGACCGATCCGGCAACTGGGCAGCGAGATGGTTCCTGATGAAAGGACACACCACCTTTCATGAACTCGGTTTTGCACACTTCCGCCGCACCCCCTAGGAATTGCTGCGAAACTGCCTGGCTTCCTTCAACATCTCGAACTTGGCGGACCACGAGCTTGCATGCAGCTACACGTGCCAGTGCGCTGCCTGGTGTAGCCCCACTGTGGTCCAGCGTTGCTAGTCCAGATCCAAGATTTCCGACCTGCGAAGCTGCGGTGTTGAAAGGCCTGTCAGTGCCCGTCGTTCACAGGACATCAGTTCGCAAATCTACAGCGCAAACGCGGCTCGCCTTCGCCTCCTGTCTGCAAACGGGTGTCGTAAGGGTTCAGCACCCCGGCGCGAAAGGGTGACTGAGACTGTGACTTAAGTGAGCAATGACTTGCAGCCACCTCGCGATTTGGACTTCAGGCCTACCCTGAATCACTGCTACTGCCACCGCAAGTGATACTCTACTGCTGCTGCTACTACTACTGCTACTACTGCTACTACTGCTACTACTACTACTACTACTACTACTACTACTACTATTTACTATTATTACTATTCCTGTTACTATTACTATTACTGTTACTACTGTTACTACTGTTACTACTGTTACTACTGTTACTACTACTACTACTACTGCTACTACTGCTACTACTACTACTACTACTACTACTACTACCACTAGTACCACTACTACCGCTACTACCGCTACCGCTACCACTACCGCTACTGCTGCGACGACGACGACGACGACGACTACTACTACTACTACTCTGCTGCTACTGCTACTGCTACTGTCGACGACGTGCCAGGTAGCTGACAAAAAAATTGCTACTAGTACTGCAAGTGCTACTACTACTGCTACGACTATTACGACAACTACTACCACCACCACCACC